ACAAGAAAAGTGAGTGATAAGCTTACACAAAAACCCATATTTTTATATGCATTGCTAGAATACAAGGGTGCGCTAAATTTTTTATTACGTATTCATTATCAAAAGTTACTTAACACAGACTTAGCTCAAAAACATGACATTTTAACGTCGATACGTTCTTCTTCTGATGATTTTTCATTGACCCTGTTACAGTTATACACAATCAAAATGCTTACTGTGTTCGCAAGCATAATAATTTGAAAATTTTAAATAATTTGAAAATTGAAAATTTTTACACATGTTAAATACCATCGAAAACCGCGCCTACAATTTCTTCATAGAGTTGGCCAATTTGATGGGCAAAGTATTTTAAGAAAGATGAATATTTTTATTAGCAAATAATTGATAAAGAAATGGTGAGCATTCACGATTCATTGCCAACCAAATTTCATCTGATAACATCCGCTATGAATTTAATGTAATAAAATGAAATGAAATAAAAAAAAAAGACGTGATGAATTAATGAATATAATAATAACAATAAACAACAAAAAACAAAAAATTCCAAATTACATGAGAAATACACTCAAAACACGTGAATAGAAGAAAAAAATTCTAATATAAATGCATTAATAAATGTAAGCATGCACCTATGCGCATATACATATGTTTCTAACTATACTATATACGTATGCTAAAGTGTTTGAGTCTATTTTTTATACGGCAAGAAAACAAAACAAATAAATTAAAACAAATAATTTAAAGTCAAGTTCAATATCAATGCAATACATCGAGCAAACTAGTCTGCTAGCTAAGCAGAACCAACCGCAAGTGACTAACTAGCAACGCAAGCAAGCAAAGTTGCCGATTAATGCATATTAAGAATTCTGGTTAGAGTCACATGTCGATTTTATTGAATAAATTTTAAAGGTTTTTTTTTATTTTTATTTTTATAATTCTTCACATACAATCGAAGCCCTTCAATAATACGGTAATGGAAGCAGAATACGTTGCCGCTTTTAATTTAATTTATAATTTTGCTTCATAGATATGCGTGTGTATTTTTTTATTTTTTTATTTTGTTTTCATACAGGTATGAGTGTTCAAAGGGTGCATCTGTATGTGTGTGTGTATGTGTGTATGTGTGTGTATGTGTGTGCATTGAAAAAAAAAAAAAAAGAAAAGAACAAAAATAAAAATAAGTAAAAAAAGCAAACAAACAAACAAACGAGCAAACATCAATCTCAGTCTTTGTCTCATAGGCATCATCGTCATAAATTTATAGAAGCAAAAATTTCAATTTACGTATACAGTACTTTACGTTTAACTCAGTTAAACTCACAGCCTGCCACTGCTTCGTTTTCTTCTTCAAACACTGTCCATCCATATCGATCGACCGTCGTCACCCATACGAGTGAATATCGAATTGTTGTCGATTCATGACACCTGATTCCCTCAAGTCAAGATTTCTGCTCCAAGTAAATTGTAATAGCAGACGGATTCTTTTATGCATAAAAGCGATGCACTTACAGGAATTACTTAGTTATAAGCGCTATATATTTGCGCTTATAATTCATTCTTTGAATTTTAATTAAATACTGTCATATTCTTAAATAGAAAGTACTGTGTGCTTATACTGATATGATAGAAAAATGCATATTAATGATGGAAACTGCATTAGAGTTTTGTTCAATGTTTATTTTTGGCACAAGCTTTACTTGGTTATTTGTTGTTTGAACTGTTTTTAAGAGTTGTTGTATTGGCAGGCAAAGCTTTTTCACTTTTTTCTTTCTTTTTTTTTTTTACTTTTCTGTATAGGCTAACCACTGTACAAGTAATGTGATTAGTTTATTATTTAGGGAAAATAAAAAGCAGAAAAAAAAGGAAAAGAATACGAGCATGAAAAACACAACTCACAACAACATTATACATCTACATCAAAGTACCATAAATAATCAAATTGATTAGATGTTAAAGAATGAAAACTAGTCCAACATATCAAAATTTTCACGATGACAAAGAGATAAACTCTGAAAAAAGCATCAAATCAACGTTAAAGAATATTAAGTCAAAAACTTTAATTAAACAAAAGCAAAATAAAAGAATCAACAAAACAAAAATATAATATTAATGCGGTCTTCAATATGTTACATTGGTTTAATTGTGAAAGACGAGGAGTATAGTACACCAAAGTTCACGGGAAAGCTTATCTAACAAAAAAAGTTGCTGCCTGTTATTTATTAAATTCAGCAAAGGATACGCGAAGCAGAGAACAGACAATTATGCTTAGAGAAGAGCGTCATTTTAGCCATGTTCGTCTATCTTCTCATTGCAATTATAGTTACGATCCGAAAACCGTATTTTCTATGCAAATGCTTTTTTCTTTTGGCAAAAATTTCGAAATATATTAAAGCGTTTTGGGCCAAGGTGTGTCATCAACAATCATAGCCAATGAAGACCATTTTTAAATACTTTTGGGAAATATATGTATCAAGTTTAAGATTAACATCTACATCTATATCGTACAAGCTATTGTTGTTTATCTAATTCTCTGAACTACCGAGAGATCATAACAATTATGTATATTATGTAGGAACAAATTGATACATATAAGCTGTTAATGAAAAAATCCTTTTGTTAAACAAATAAATTACTTGCGAATATTAGTACTTTCACTCCCAGTCGAAGACAATTCTTCGGTTTCACGTTAAAAAGGCTTTTTGCTCCTTTATCCGTGCATTTTGAGTAACATTCCAAGCCAATAATCAATACAAATAATAGCAGCTTCAAAAGTAACCAAAATGACTCAATCAACTCAAAACACGCTACCATGATGCATATATCAAAATCAGACAATTATTGTTTTGTAAACTATGGACCTAAGTTAATTAAAGAAAGTTTTGGATACCATTCTGAAGCATTGGCAAAAGCAAACAAATTTCGGATCTCGTAGAATTACAAGCACTTTTTAACATTTTGAAGAGATGGTAATGCTTTGTATATAAAATAATTGTCAAACAATGACTCCCCGATGGGAAAATATCATCTTTAAATCGTAAGCAACAGCATAAGCTATGCTGCTGTAGTAGAGCCTTAAGTTACTTTCGTATTGGCTGCGGTTATCCCAAATTGCAGGAAAAGCGCTTTCGCTGTGTGGAGTTGCATTGCAATCGGTAATTTAAATCGTATAAAGGCAAAAGTTTTAGTTTAATATGACTACGATCAGAAGGCAGGACATGTCTGTATAACGTGTATTCATCTGGCATTACAAAACTAATCATCTCCGGGACGACAAGTAACTTTTTCGTGGGATTAATCCTTTGCGATGAGAATCTACACTAAACAGCTAAGAACATCATACTGTAGTGTATAAAACATTATTTTTGAAAATCTTAGACAAGACGAGTTCTCTGCTAAAATGCAACAGCAGGCAGCTGCACTTTCCTGCTTCATTTGGAGAAAAATGCTGTCGAATCGTGATGAATGATGAAAATATCGAAACCGCGAAAGATCGTAATGATGTTTGGATTGCCTCATAACCCACGATATAAGAGTGGTTATGACCAGGTGGGTGTTCTCGGTGCGATGGATCCTTGCTCGTTACTGTAGCATTTGTTATAGGTAACGGCGATGTCTGCTGAGTGATTGGTCATATTAAACAAAAAAAAAAAAAAAGAAAAAAATTATGCAAGCTCGGGGAACTTTTAGCATTAATGGTAAAGCTGAATATTCCCAGTATTCTCGACTGTAAGTACTAACTAAGTGTGGTCTGCTACTTTAATTCAACAAAAGTATTACTGAGAATGGTTACCAACAACTCTCTCTATATATGGGAAAAGGTATTCTAAATATGACGTCACATGACCTCATAGTGCAGGCCCGTCCAGAAAACGCTATCAGCATTGAACTGAAATGTGCTAGTAGGTCCGCAACATCGACCCGACCTTCCCTCCTCCGTTTTAACGCATAACGTATTGTCTGTTTGAGCTGCGCGTCCATCCTTACATAGATACACAGAAAACGAATACTTAGGTAGATAGTCTCAAGAAAAACATCTGTCCTTGCGAAACGAAAAGAGGGTTCAGTTCATTTCACAACTTAATACTTAATAATCGTTTAAGTTCACGTAGGCCAACCTCAAGTTCTCCATTCAGATTTTCTGTTTTTCTCAATAAGAACTAACCAAACCAACACTGACAAGCAAATATAACAGAATCATTGAAAAAGTCTACACAGATAGAGGGCTTGTCAAGTGTATGCGTAGATATCAAGTGCGGTCGTAATATATACGACCGTTAGCAGTGAGTCTGTAAAAAATCGGAGTTTCACTAAAAGCGCGAAATAAACGGCATTCTCTTAGCACATCGGCAACCATGCTACAAAAGCAGTGCCGCATAAAAATTATTCTCTAAAGTCAGTCAAAAATACATAATTAGTAATAGTCTTAACAAAAGCCCTAGAAACCCGATTTATGTATGGATTTTTTCCCTTATTGAGACATAATCAAATATGTAAAATGCTTTAAAATAAATTAAAAATAAAAAAAATTAGGATATATAGTGGGCCCACTATTAGATACCCTAGATGTCTGCACTACTTGACTTAATGCAATCATTAAGGTGTTATATAGGAAAGAGCCGAAAGCCTGCGCCAGTCCGAACCATTTTCGGCTTAAATCGATTCAGAAATTAAAAAATAAAGGGTGGGTCATCCCAAGTCCTTCTAGGTGCTGTATTCGTCCGCATAAACTTAATACGCCAAAAACTCTTTCCCGCCAATTGAAAAATAGAAAATCAGAAAAAAAAAAAAACAGAAATCTCGTTAATAAGGAAAATTTTCAAGAAACGAGTTGTTCAAGAACTTGTTGACCGGCTTCATTTTAATGAAAATGTATTACCCAAGTCATAGTTTGAAGTAGAGAAGATAGAAGAGCAGAAAGCAAAAAGCATCAGGTGCACAGATCGATTCTGTAAAAATTCTTTCTTCCGTTAAAGAAGGGAAAGTTAATTGCACACACCCACCTGTACTTGTCGGCTGAAACCGTGATTTTAAATTGTTTAAATGATTTTGATGTTCATTTGCAATAACAGCAGCTGCCACAGCATTGGCCACATGTTGTACAGTTGTTGTGGCCGAAACATTACCCAAAACTGAATTTGTGTTTGCGTTTGATGAGTTGTTTGCGTTAGCGTTACCATTGCCCACAGTGTTATTATTGTTGTTAATATTATTGTTATTATTATTACATACTAAGCTGGAAACATTCTGATTGATATTTGTGGAGGTCTCGGTCGAATTTGCGTTAAAATTACGCTGAGCATGGTAGTGAGCATTTTCATTATAGAGACGCTGATAGCATGACAGTGAAGGTATGGACCAAGAGTTATTTGTTTTATAGTGAAAATTACCGGTACCGAATATTGAATGAGGATTTGTAGAAACGGTAGCTGCCGCAGCAGCTGCAGCCGCGGCAGCGGCAACATTCACATTTGAGGTAGTAGCTGCCAGATTTTGTTGTAATGTTTGACTAAGAGCAGCGGAGAGTTGTTGCTGCTGTTGATGTTGTTGTTGTTGTGGATGCTGCTGTTGCGATTGATGAAGACTTTGTTGCTGTGTCTGATGATGGTGATGATGGTGCTGTGCAGTTTGCTGTTGTTGATGTTGTTGTTGTTGTTGTTGTTGTTGTTGCTGATGCTGCTGGTGCTGCTGCTGAGACGTATGATGTTGTTGTTGATGTTGCTGATGATGATGGTTATGCTGCTGCTGCTGATGATGATGCTGCTGCTGTTGTTGCTGATGCTGCTGTTGATGTAAATGATGCTGTAATTGAGTTTGTTGCTGTTGATGTTGTTGTTGTTGCATATTATTCCATTGTTGATTGTTCGAAGATCCACCCGTTGCCGTTATTGTACCGCCTGCTAAAGATTTATTCGCTTCACTATTGTTGCCACTATTGCATCCATTTTCGATGCTTGCATTGGTATTGCGCGACATAATGCTGCTCTCACTGCCGCTATCGTTGTTTACGCTTATGTTGCCTACATTCGCCGCAGCAGCTGCCGCCGCTGCTTGCGAATTCAATTGCTGAAAATACTGATTCAAAGCAACGGTATTCGCGTGTTCCTGAAAGAATCCGGAACATGAAGTTGTCTCCGAAGTCATCGCGTCTATGCTTGTTTTCAATAACTTTTTTTTCTTCGAATTCTCAATATTCAAAAATTTTCACTTTCACCCGTTCTTCTGCTTTTTTTTTTTTTTTTTTTTCAAATCACTTTACGCAACGCAAACGTCCAAAAAATCCGGAGCAATATTCTTCTCCTTTTTTTTCTTGTTAAGCAAAGCAGTAATAGAAACCTTTCAATAGATGTTTCATATTTTATTCATTATCACAACTTATTGTAGATGTTTTTGTTTTTTCTTTTTTTCAAATTAAAAAATTTTCATTTTATTTCATTCATAATCAAAAACTTTAATCGCCCATATTCGGATATTTTGTGTACTTTCCTTACGAATTTTAATTAAAATTGTTTCTCAAGCAATTATCAATTATCGTGCATTCGGTTAAAAATGCTTGATTTTTCGATTTATTTAATTATTTTGAAAGAGTGAAGAGATTAATATGAATACAGCTACCTTTCGAAATAGTTGTCATGTGGAAAAATCTACAGTGTTACAGTGTAAAGCGAATTGCGCGGTTAAAATGCATGAAAATAAGGAAAGATTTTTTGTGTTTTCTCAATTTTTTTTTTTGGGGATTTTTTTGAAAGGAAATAAAATACAATTAAAAAATATTTTGTATTCACTTTAGACGGGTATCTAATTCTACCATTATTGCTATGCAATGTGTAAATTCTTGACAATCCTAACAATCGTTGGGAGAATAAAAATTCGAATGCATAACTTTATATAATATATAAAGTCGAAGGAAGTTCAAAGGCCAGGATCCATCCATATCGAAATTATTGTTGTATTGTATAACGTTTACAAATTTACTTAATCAATATATAACTTACTGCAAATGGCACTTCATTTTATAATGAAATCATAAAATTTGCGAATGTTCTCAATTTTCTAAATATTGGCAAAACTATAAATCGATCGGCTTTGGTAATTCTTTGCTACCATATGAACAGATATAACAGGAGAGGAGAACAAATTCGAAATCTACTTTGTTGTGCCTCGTAAGTTTTTGGCATGTACCGCAAATTGAAATTAAATCAAACTATCAAAAGAGACGCTATAATCTGTGGTTTATTTTCCGATACGGAGTATTTTTCAAATACATCTCTAAATATAATCTACTCTATGTAGTCGCGGTAGGTTTAGCGCCGATTCATGAACAAATAATAAAATATAGATAACCGGACTTTCAAGTTTTTTTTTTTAATTCTTCTATAAGTTGAGGCCGATTTATTCAAGGGTTTATAAAAACATCGATAAACAACTAAAAAAGTTGCATTCATCTTATGGTAAACTATTATGTTAGATGTGGATGCATCAGATAAGCGATCGAAAACATTTTGCTACTATTATAGTATTCCTAAAATAAATCTATGCAATGTTTGCACAAAGCTTTAAAATAAGTAAATATCTGCTACAAGATGTAGATTATATGCTTTTGCGTGCTACAGAGCAGATCGCGCTTCCTTTTAAACTTGAATTTTGGCAAGCAATCGTGTACCGTACCCACTTTCAGGCATCCAAGGCAATGTTCAAGATCATCAGCGTTCTAACAATGGAGGAGGGGAGCAGGATGCAAACAGATTTACGAGCGATTCACGTTTGTCATTCTAATTAAGGACTTACGACCTGCACATCTGATAGTCTTTGTAATCTAATTTAATTTTATTGTTTGAGTGGTCGATACAAAAAAAAGTGCTAATTAAGAAATCGTTATGCTTTCTTAATCTTATTTATATACATGAAATTATTTTTTGTCTGCTTGCAGTACGTTTTCTTTTGGAAGCAGTTTGTAGTAGTTTGTAGAAAAATTTATAATTATTAGTATTTAATTGTATTTTTAACACTTTATAAAGCCAAGTAGTTGCACGTGAGGAAAACACAATTGCTACCGTCCATTTTTCAGCGTAAATTATAGGCAGAAAGTTTAGAGAAGTGATTTATTCTCTGAGAAACGATGATATAGATCATGAAGGACACACACTAACAAAGGCACCGATTAATATGCTTCCTAAGTAGACACTTGTGTCCATGTCTTCTTCTTCAGTTATTAAATGAAAGTCCATTCAGGTCTTACTATTGGGGTGGACATATGCCTGATATCGGGCCCCTCATTGAAATTTGTTTTTGCATGATTTGAGGAAGGGTATACGACTGCCAGAGAGAGAAAGACGGAGAGAGAGAGAGAGAGAATAGAACAATGACACAACATATTACGATATACTGTTCTTATCTCCAATCCATTCATAATTTGTAAATCGTCAGAATCAAAACGAAACCAAATATGATATCCTTCCGTTTAATGGTCAGACAGTTATAGACCGATGATATTAGCGTTACATACTTTTTAAAAGCCTCAAATCATCGGTCCATTTTTTTTTTCTTCGGGCCGGGTATTGCGAAACTTATAGAGGATTATTACACAAATAATAATTATTCTCTTTGGGCTGTTGTTCGCGCATTATCTACAGATGTACAGAGCTTGCTATTTCAAGTGTAACATAAAATGAAAAATTTCGATAAAATGTCAATGTTCGTATTCGATCGATCAAAAACGTGAACGCACTATTGTGACTAAGACTAACGATGCTGTGAATCGAAGTGCGAATAAAATCGAGAACAATAGATTAGACGACGTATTCAGCAATTTGAACTTTCCTACGTTAACGGATGATTTTTTATGGCATGACCTAAATGAATTCGATTTGGACGATATGGGGTTTTAACATCTTACTGTGCAACAACAAGCTAAATAAGTTGGGACACAATCGATTCGTTAAAATTTCGAAGAAAAACTTTTAACAAACTACAGTGCAGGACTAATAACTTCCTTTTAGTGGCGTTATCTTCTTTGCATTTCTAAGCAAAAGCTATATAAAACGTTCGAGATCGGCCGCGACCACTTTAGTCTTCAGCAAATCTAGCTTGCATTGAATACATTTTTTTTTTCAAATTACTTTCCTCCACATTAGCTAAGCCGCGTTGAATGAAATATTTGAAAGCGAACGATAGTTTCATGACTTCTAAACACCTTCTCTAATCGAAAAGTTTTCTCTCTAATCGCTTAATGTACAAGCAGTACAAAGGTGTAATTGTTTTGTTCGAAACTGTATAAAAAAGGAAATAATTAAAATACTTTTTAAAAGGCTTTAAAATTTTTGTTAACGTTCGACAAATTGCTTTAAAGACTTTATATTATTATTAATAAAAAAGAAATCATTTATGCATTATATATTTTGAAAAACACTGAATAATATAAACAAAAAAAAAAAAAAAAAAAAAAAAATT